ATATTCAGCTGTCCTCTCGTGCTCATGGGTACGTTTTAAAAAAATCCTTTAGAGTGAAATATTAAGTCTGAAGGAATAAATAAGATTAAACACACATGTTGGTAAAAACTGTATTTTAGTAAGATAAATAATTATTTCAATATTTATTTAACAAAATATATGGTTCTTATTATTAATGTTAAAACTAAATTATATTACTGTTAAAATTAAATGCTTTACGAGCTTTAACAGAGTTTATGATTTATTAGTTTTTTTTTTGTATCATTAAAACATTAGGACTATGTAGTTTTGAGATTCCTAAAATCTGATCTGTCAATTCAAGGAAAATCAGAATCAGTAATAATGAGTATCGACAAGTTACTCTTACCAAAAATCAGTGTTGTTGAAATTTTCCTCACCTTCCCTAATTATAAACTGATAAGAGATTTAAGAAAAAACCAAAAAGACAGAGAGCGTTCTTCATGGAAGTGTGCACTCTGTATTATTTTTCATAGGATCCTTGAGCCGAATTCCAAGATTCCCATCTGGTATATTGAACATTTAAACGTGGAATTTGCCACCTGATAGCTGCGTCCTTTTTTAATAGGATCTATTGACAGGATATATGGTCCAAAATCAATGTATCCAAATGCATGTGTTAAAATGGCTTATGTGGCGAGACGTCTTCAGCTCTCTGACTGAAACAGTGTGTGTTTGACACTGAAGCTGATTACTGTTTTACACGGCTCTCATGTATCTGATCACATTATCTTATTGACGGCAGTTCTGGTAAATATTCTCCGGAGCAGACGGCTGCAGACACGCCTGCAGTTTAAATGTGACACACTGTGCTACATGTGTCTGTAATCAATTAATTCACTTATTTCACCTTCAGTCACGGCTGGAGCTAGTTTCTATCAGGCTTAAAATCAATTACGCTGGTTCCGGCACCTATAGGCCCATACCTGTAACAGCCATTAGAGCATATCTGAGGGGCGCATAGGCTTTTTATTTCAGCAGTTCACACTGGGGCGTTTATTTTCTCATTATGAGCTATTATATCAGTAGACTTTGAGTGTGCAGTTAAGGTGTTGGTGCTGCAGATTTGTGGCTCCGTGTTGGAGCAGGATGAATAATTCACCTGCTGGCTGATGAAAAGAGGGCATGGAAAGTGCGAAGCGCTGAGGTGGAGTGACCTTGGTTCATGCTGGCTGCAGGTCACCTGGCCGATGCTGTGGTAATCATTCACACCGACCAGATGGCATTTCCGTGGGCGGGCATGAAAAGGACGGGTCAGGGTTTGTCCTGCCAGGTCCTGCCAGGCCCAGAAACAACTCTGGGCCAGTACAGTACCTGAATAGAGAGGGAGCAAGATCACTGTGTCTTTACAAAGACTTTTTTTTAACAGTCAGCTGATAAAAAGCGTAGCCAAACCAAACTGGTGGAATTACAGTCTGATTATTCTCATGGTTTATTTGAGCCTATTGTCCTGTAATATCCTAACCCTGGACATGGTAGATACCTCAGTATGTCATATAATCAAACATCTGTTACTGTTATAATGCACCACGGAGTGTCCAAAGTAGTTACAATTGACTGTTTACCTGCATGCTAACAGCAAACAATGTTTCAGATCCCTGTTTCCTTTTACGTATAGACAGACTGGGTGTTTAGTGGAGAGGGTGGGCAGTGACCTAAACAGCTAATTACTGGTAAGGGTTCTGATATCTAACTACTGTACTTACTTTTCAAAAATGTCCAAACCACAGAAAAGGTGGGTTAAAGTAAACCAGATGGTTTAGGGTTCAGTAAAGTTTTCATCTCTTGCCCTTTCTCCCCCCTCCACTGTTATTGACCCTACCTCTGTTTTTTGTTCTATGGTGGGGGAAAAAACATACTCCTTATTTGTTTGCGATTTCTCAGCCTTGTTTCCTCTTTCTCTCTCATTCTCTCTGCCACAAATTGAAAAGGCAGCAGGATTTTAGATTAGGAACAAAAGCTCAGTGATTGTACTACATTTAGCATGACTCACTTGCTCTGGTGTCAGCTCTAATCCACACACACAGACAACAGTATCGCCAAACAGTGAAATTGCTTTGCAGCCTGCAAGCCTTGGCTGCCTTTCGCTGCCAGGCTGCTCTGTGTGCCAGTATATCGGCAGACACACATACACACACACACACACACACACACTGTATGTCTGAAATTGCCTGTGAAAATCAGTCTGTGTGCCTTCCATTCATGCTTTCACGTGTTTGTTTGTTTGTTTGTTTGTTTGCTGATATTGTTCATGTCAGATTCACGGCTCTAATCTCATTGTAGTGCAGAGAAAGTCAGTCCACAGCGCCTCACGTCTGGGATTATTTATCATAATGACTGTATCATTTCATTCATACACAGTGATGGATATAAAAAGCTTCAGTATTGACCTCAACAGTTAGTTTCATACGTTATCTTCCCGTTTACAGCAGATTACTGCTGTGCGTAAATGTAAAAGCTGTCACATGGTCATCATCATCATCATCATCATCATCATACTCAACGGTGGTCACCTTTTATATTAATGTTTCTGCACGGGCTTTTTATTAATTCTGCTCCTGTGAATAAAAGGGTGGGACATGCCTGTCGTGCCTCTCCTATCCCTCAGGTCCGCCTCCTTCGAACTTTTGACAGACACAACAATTCATACAGAATGGAAAGATTTGTTTTTGCACGAACATGTAGGGGCAAAATTGAGTCGTGCAAACTTCCAGGAGCCGTAACCTCTCTGCGTTAAAAAGGCAGCAAACTTTGGAGGAGGAGGGGGAGTGAGGCAGACTGAAGCATTAAGCTGTTTAACCTCTCAGTGTAGCATTAGTGGTAGAGACTTCAAAGTGAACGCCTCAGCTTTGGAATCAGAATGACAAATGGGTTTAGAGACGGCTACGCTGAGCGTTTCTCACAGGAAGACTAGGCCTGTCATTAATGTCAGCTTAATCACTTTGACCTTCCTTCAAGCAGATTTCCATACCTATCCAATCATTTGGCTTTGGTTAGTGCTCGTGTTCTTCACACTGCTGCGTGATGAGCTCTCGGCTCTGCTCATCTTTTTGTCTGTAGCTTTGATTGTGCACCTGAAGGGTCTTTAACGCCTCAATATCCAAGACACAAGTTGCAGTGTAAACATGTTTCATGAAGTTTTTTATTTTTCACCAGATCAAAGTCATGCTGATGTTGCATGTCGTGTTTTGATGTATTTTATACACTGTACTGCCTCTGTTTCAGCACAGTGGTGCTAAATGGTATTTATTCTTTTCGGCCACATCACATACACATCATGTGACAAAAGAGTCCTTAAGTCATTTTTTATTTCACCTCTAGGTTGATCCCAGTCACGTGTCTCAGCTAGCAGCTTTGTTAGCTTGGTTGATGTTACTTAGTTGTTAAGTTGATAAGTGACTTAGTAAGAGCACGCCTTTCTCTGTAAGTCACCTGCTGCAGCATTACAGACAAGAGACTGTGATGCTACAGCTTGCTTATTTTTAAGAACACAGTAGAGAAAGTAAATAATTTCCTGAAAAGTAATAACAAAAAAAAAAAAAAAAAAGAATCAATATAAAATAAACGTAGCTATAATTGAGTAAAATTTATAATAATAAGTCAAGGAATGTATGGACCACACACAACTATTCAACATCCCTGATTATTTCCCAGGTCAGAGTTTGGACCACAATCTGAGATTTCTTTTAGATTAAGAAGATCACTAATGCCTGTTAAAAATAAACCAAGCCTCTCTTTTTTTTACTAAGCACCAGCAGCTGGTATTTTTGGACAGGGAAATATGATTAAACGCTGTATTGATTGACTAATTGTTGCAGCTAATGAGTGATAAAAACCTTGTCATTATTCTACCTCTACGCTGCTGCCTGTTTCAGCTTTGTAATGTGGTCACCTGTATAAAGCAGCGCCTCTGACGTCTGGGCAGGAAGCTGTCCCCTCGGTAGTCCACAGTGCTTTATATTTTTCATGGCAGCGCCTTCTCACATCTGCTGCCCCTGGGCTGGAGCGATTGCTTTGCAGGAGTAAATAAGCAGCTTTAACAAAACTTCAGGGACACATAAGTCTGCAGGAGGATGGCTCCTCGTGGTGGGGCTGCCTCCTCTTTCTTCACAGCCAGGCAGCAGGAAGTGTCAGGCGCCGGGAGCACAGGGTATAAAGCTGTGTCCTCTCTCCCTGCTGACAACCAGGCTTCTGCCTGGTAAGTCCATATTGACCACATTTCTCCACCGTGGCCTTGGCTTTATTTGTTTTGACTGTCTGACGCTGCTGCAGACGTATCGAGCTCTAGTTTTTTCCTGTTCATTTTACCAGGCTTACAGTGAATCCCACTGACCTGCCCCCTCTTACTTTGTGCTGTAACGGCTTTGACAGGTAATCACTCCATGTAGTGATATTCTGTCGTCCATGACTTTTCTGTGTGATGTAAAAGCATCAGGGCTGTGGCAGAAGGAAAGGATATTAGTGGATGTTTAGAGCAGAAGTAAGAGTATTTGACGATGCAAGTGACGGTCAACAACAAAAGGCATCGGAGCGAAGGAGCTAATGATGTGATACAAAAGTTTTGATTACACACTCACTCATGTTATTAAACACAAGTGGTAATTATGAAGCAATATATTCTGGAAAAAAATAAAATAATGAAGAATAAATAAAAAATAAAATATTATATTTGAAAAGCAAAAATTAACAAAAAATCCAATATATAAATGTGCGCTTCTAAGATTATTATTATTTTTATGTTTTGTCTTGCTCTTTTTTTAATTATTTGATAGTTATTTATTCAGAAAAAATAAAGTAATAACGTAAAAATGTACATTGATTACAATATATTACACAAGTTGACATAAAAATACGTTTTTTTTTGTTAGTTTATTTAGATGCCAAAGCAAATAATTTAATAATTGATTAGAAAAAAGGTTTTTTATTGGAATAATAATGAAAACAATAATGAGAAATTATGTTTAAACCAAATGTGTGTTTTTGAATATTAGTTTGAATATTGAAAAATAATGTATAACAAATAATATATAACAAAGAATTAGCTAGATTAATTTAATTACATTAAATTAAATTCATTATTTTTTCAATAATTTTTCAGATATTCTGTCTGTGCCTCCAGTGGTGTGTGTTTCTGTTCTGTGTGGCCCAGATGTGTGGTGCAGCTCCTTTGTCCAACAATTCAGGAGATCAGTGCTTCACTGAGCTCCTCCAGGTCAGTTGTGGGGGATCTCTACTTCTCTCATTAATCGCCACAGCTCTAAGATTGTTCACCGGCCTGGAAGAAGAGTGGTGCGGGTGACGCCACACATTCGTACTCATTTGAACAGAAAAGACAGGAGTGCCTTAAAAGATGGCCTCTTGGTGGTCTTTGAGCATTAAACCAGAGTTTGTTATTACTAAGCAGATGTGCTCTTATTCATCAAAATAATAGCAAAGGTGTGTTACTGCAAAAGCAGATGGATCAGGCTGGGTTGTGTTGGCTGCTCTTGTCTTTGTGCAGCTGCTCCCCCACACACTTAATTACTCCCTTATTCATCCCCAACAATAGGAGGAGATGGAATAAATCTGAGCCGCACACACTTTGCTTCTTCACCGTGGAAAGGTGCAGACTGGGACCCTAAAGCGAGCCAGTGGCTTCAAGAGGTACAGTTTATCATTTTTAATGGAGAGGAACAGGAAGTGGAGACATGAAGCTGGGCTTTGTGATTTATACACCTCCTCGGTCGGAGGGAGAAAGGAGCAAGTCTATCTCCCTGTCCACACCCCTGGTCTGCAGCAGCATTTGCTTGAATCACAACAAATGTAAAAAGAAAAAAAGAAAAGAAAAAAAAAAAGACGAACAGAGAATTTTCCTTCTTAATTGTAACATCTGGGAAATTCTATCGCCTTATTCATATGTTCTTGAATTATTAATGTTGGCATTTACTCACCAGTTACTTCACCTGTTCACCTACTCATTCATGTAATTATCTATTCAGCCAATCACATGACAGAAAGTCAGGGCATGTAGACATGGTCCAGACGAGCCGCTGAAGCAAGCAAGAATTAAGTGATTAGGAGTGTTGTCTTGTTGGATCTAGACCTGGTCTGGGTCTGAGTACTCCACCCACTGATGATCTAAAGTTTAGATTCTAAACCATCAAAATAAAATCACAGGAACCTTTTGTGACAACTGATAACAGTTCTGATGTGATTACACTAATGTGTTAACTTTCTTTATTCTTTATCGATGCTCTTATTGATTCTCATTGGAAAAAAAAAAAAAAAAAAAAGAGCATTTTATTCCTTCCTACTGTTAAGTTTGCAGTAATGTTTGACATTTGATTCAGATGAAATTGATCTGGAGATTTAAAAACGTTCATGTTCACATATAATATACCTGCAGTTATCAACTGTTGCAAATAGAAGAGAAGGTGCTGTATGTACACGGTACCTGCAGCAGCCTCTCAGCCAGACACACTCTGGCGGTCCTTGTCATGGAAATGTAATTTTAGAGGATGGCTGATATTTATACACTATAGTAAAAGTAGGTTGACACATGATTGGCACTAAAAAAACACAGGACAGGACCTGGAAGAGTCTGTGTTCTATTGTTACCTTTGGAGCGTTAGGGCAGAGAAGGCCGTCAGCTCCGGCCCTGGAGTCGACAGCTCCATCCACATGCAGTGGAAGTGTATGTTGGTATTTCTTCGCTTCGTTGTTTTCAGTCTTGGAAAATGCATCAGTGCCTTCTTTTATAAAATGCAGTCATACTTCAGACTGCCTCTGCATCTTTGCCATGTTGGAAACACTTTGAGCCAAATGGCACAAATGATCATTTGACCATGGGTTTCCACCAGCAGCTAAGTCTAATAGGCTAGTTTTGGTGAACTGTAGTAGAAGTGGCCTTGAACATCATTACTTTTGTATGAATGGATTTATTTATTTGTTTTATTAAGATAATTAAACATGCAATACGCACTCAGAGCACACAGAAGTACAGCGAAGTACACTTACTTCACAGTAAGAGGATTATATATAGTAATATCTGTTTCCCTATGTCTCAAACTGACCTGTTGAACTTTGACACAGTTGGTCTTTGGCAGCTGGTGGTGCTGGTAAAAAAGCATCCACATCCATCTATTAATAACCAGTCATCCAGCAGGATTAACCAGTCATCCAGCAGGATTATACGTGTTTCTGCTTCTGTGGCTTCTACAGTTACTGGACCTTACACCGCTGAAGTCACATGGTATCACAAATGTTCACCTGACACATCTGCAGCAACTGTGTGATGCTTTTATGTTAGGAAATAAAGCAGTTCTAAATGTAGATGGGTGTCCGACCTGCAGGTTTTACCTAATGTAGTGATTGGTGAATGTACTGCACAGTATGTGGGCTGTACAGTACGTGGAAATACTGCACAGTATGTGGGCTGTACAGTATGTACAGTATGTACAGTATGTAGGATGTAAAGCCATGCACCTAAACCATCCTCTGCCTCCGTGGTCACCCTGTATTTGGTTTGTTGTTCTGCAAAGTCACACCTCCATTGTCACCTGTTCATTTACTTTTCTCGTGGAGGCCATCGAGGTATTGATTATGGTTTGCAACTGTCTTAACACTGTGCAGTACAGGCCTCGAGCTGTCTCTCCCCTCAGCCCCACGAGTGCTTTTCAGACCTTGTAATCTTAATTAAATATGCAACTTTTGATCGCAACACAGTAAAAGGTGAAGATAAATTGTGACAAAATTTAAATGCAAATATATATATATATATATAAATATATATTTATATATTTGCTCACCTTTGCCTGAGTAGACTTCTTTTTTCAGTTTTCCTCGTTAGCCTCCTGCTGTATTTTCTTTATACTTTTTTCCTGCTTTTTTTTTTCCAGATAATTTTATGATATTTTCCTCCCCTGCGCTCCCGTTCTCTCCCCGCTCTCTTCCTCTCTCGCTCTTTCTCTCACTCCTCGGCAGTTTTCCCCAGACAGGTTCCACAGTGTTTTAGAAGGGATGGATTTAATTGCTCTGTGGGGATTGGTTGGCTGTGCCGGGCTCGGCTGTTTAATTAGTGTACCCTGCCGGGATTGGTTTAATGCTTCATGATCTTGAAATTGTCTGATTGTTCAGCCCTCTGGGGATTCTCTCTGCCTACGTAGGCCAGCGGGTTTAGCTAAACATTGCTCCAGGCTTCAGCTGTATGTGGCAGGAGGGAGAGTTTGCCTGAGGAACTAAAATTTTTGGTGTGTGTGTGTTGGTGTGTATCTATGTGTCTGTGTGGTAGTGTGTGAGTTGGGTCAACTCTTGGGCATGGTCATGTAAAGTGGACAGTCCTGTGGGTTTTTCCTGAGCTCTTGACTACAGGCTTTCTGCACAGACCTCACAGGAATGTTTGCTCTTGCAGTGTTTGATCTCAGCATGATGTTCCAGGGAAATGATCCCTGTTGACTATTAATGCAGTACCAATATTAGGACTGTGGTGCAGTTCTTTGTTATGATAAGCAAACATATGAGTTTTATGAACTGCAGCCAGGACAAAATTATTATTTGAGCTAAAAACACTTTCCTCAAACACTTTTAACATTTTTGGATGCTGAATGGATAAACGCAGTCTGGTGATATTAAAATGACTTCTGTGTGGAAAGACAGCTGAACATAAGCACAGATACCTTCATTTATTCACCTGCAGTCATCTGGTCCAGCTGAAGTCCAGATACCTGGCAGTCACAGTGGCTGAGCATGCCAGGCCTGTCCACTCAGCACTCCTCTAAGATTGCAATAGTTCATATCCACAGTCTGTATTTGAATTATTTTTTTCTCATTTCACTTTAAATTCTTGATCTGCTCATTAATTCTGTTCTTGTTTTATATCTTGCAGCTCATAAATTGTCTCTTGTGAAATGTGTGACTTTGGGCGACTTTCACCATTTGCTCATTGCTTTGTGGAACATTTCTGTTCCGCTCTAGTGCCAGTACCTGTAAAATACTGTAACTATTGTCAGAATTTGTTTTTATATTAATACATTTCAGATAAAATACTGCACATAGCAGTAGTTTAGACATTTTTCTCTACTACAGCCTGAGGTCTAATTATACCAAGTGCAGACTGGTGAGGTTTTGACTTTGGTATTAAGCTATTTATACCCATGCTGATTTGTCAAATGTGCCCTCTCACTGTATTTTTGCCTTGTTTTGCATGTGTGAGTGTCTGCTGCAGCGAGGCCATCAGAATCGTCTTGTGTGGACCGTGAATTATGTGCTTGGTCACCTTGAGTAAGGGGAGCCGGGAAAATTACATTTGTGTAAATGGGCCTAGGATGTGTCTGCCCAAAGCCACCTCCCCCCATCCTTCCAATCGCATGCCCTTGGTGTGGCTCAGTCATGGCAGTGATGTTGACCTCCCTCCTAGTGAATGTGCTTGGCATCCGATCACAGATAAGGGAGTGCCGTGGGCTGCGGTGGCGGAGTGGTCCAGTACAGATAGTACATATCGAAGGCTGAGCTCATTCCACTTCATCAGACTTATCAAGCCCACTCACTCTGAGACATAAATCTCCAGTGGATGATAATAGGAACACCTTCACTGCCTCTCTGCCTGCACTTTATTATGTGTTTGTCCTCACAGTGAGTGATGCCTGAGTGTTCTGCTGCAACAATGATTACTTTTGTCTGAGAGCTCTCTCCATTAGGCATCCTCCAGGTAAATGCCAGCAGCTTGTATTTTGGTTGTCGGCTGGATCATGTGTACCTCACCCAGGGGGTCATTTTTATGCCGGAGTACTACTGTGTTTACACCTTCGCAGACACCGCTGGGGATTCACGTGATCACCAAGGCGATGTGGGCCACATGGAAACTGAGCTGCTCCCAAACGAGACTCAAACTCCAGCTTCATCTCCCTCTCTCTGGGGGAGTTGCCCTGATTACTGAGTGACTCTTCAGCAGTTGGGGTTGTTTGTGATATGTGCAATGATGATAAGGATTGTGTAATCACAGACGGAGTTGTAGAGACGATCTTTTCAATCTCGCATCAATGAATTAGAGATGACACTTGTCCTCAGCGAGCTTGCTAACAACAATACTACGTAGCATCATTCTATTTTACAGGGATAATGCCCCTACTTGTAGTCCACCAGTATCTTCTAGACTAGAACATTGATGACAGAAATGTCACTGTCCTTTGAACTCTCTAGAACTATGTAGAAACAAAACAAAACCATGAATTGATTGAAATTGATTTGGGAATTGAAATGACTGAAATTGTTAATTGCTAACACACAAAAAAAGCAGAGTTGATAGTCATTGAGGCAGTTTTTTAGTGTTTCGGGTTTAGTAATTTGTTTTAGTTTATGTCCTAAAAGAAATTGGGAAATAAGAATGAAGGTCTACCCTGAGTTCTGAATTATACACTATTATTATCAAAGCAGGATCCTCGGGTCAATTGTAGATAAGGTTAGAGTCAACAATGTTGTTCTCTCATAAATAAGCTCTGGGACTTAATATTGCAGGACAGATTCTCCTTCAAAGATGAAAATATTATTGCTTCTCTGCCCCTCCCCCATTGCCTTTTGGGCAGGGTGAGTCCAGCATCAGTCTAGACGTGCGGCATCATTAACCTGCCGCGACCTCAACCCCTGATGAATTTTCTCTCACATCCCCTGCAGCGCAGCGTTAGCGGCCCCTCTCCTGTCCACTGGGAGTGGGGGCTCCTCCGGCCTGGCCATTACAGCCACTGGCCTCCTCCGGTAGAGTTAATAGGGCAAGTGGCCGGAGCCTCTCACAGACTGCTGAATAATTCAAAGCGTCTGGGCTGTGTCTGGTCTCGGGGCGCAGGGGGAAGTGAACTAGGGAGCAGGGTGCGTGGGCCTGCATGAAGGTGCAGGGGTTAATAACAGGATCGCCTGCATCTCTGTGTCAGCAGCTGCTCAACCCCTCCCCCCAAAGCCAACCCCACCCCACACATATGAAAGAATCCTATTCAGTTGATTAGATTTTTTTTCAAAATGGATCAATTTTTAATCAGCAGAGCATCTGACTACAGTCAATACCATTGTGGCTGCGAAGACAGTTGCTGGACGGCCGTCTTTATTTACAGGAACGTTTGTTTTTCACTTTATGCAGATTGGGAAGGAAGGAAGCGGTTTCACTCTGATCACTGCACCACTGCAGTCCCTGGCCAGTCCAGGTCTCAGGGTCCTGCCTCTTCATCTTCTGCAACAACAACAATATCAACTTCCATCGAGGCCACAACAAATCACTGATGAACTCACTAATCAAACTAAGTGGGCA